TAATTTTAAGTTTAATCCGTTTCGTTCTAATTGGCTGAATTCTAATCCTCAATTCGCAATCCTCAGTCTCGAATGCGTAGTGTGACACGGGCATTAGGCTTTCTCTGGTTTAGGTTTACCACTTCCCTAAAAATTGTTTTTTTTTTACTATTCGATGAAAATCAGCCAATCACAGGCATATGTTAACAGATTTTACAACATCAAATCTGCAAATTTGATGGAGACTCAGACTACAGATACAAGGAGGAATAATTATTAAGTCGTAATTTGCTAAAGAAGATTCCAAAGGGAAAAGTCTAAAGTCGAAATGTACATATAATTCATTTTGATTGATGGGGGGAATAAAAGTAACAAGAAACACACTCTTTTACTTTGCGTACCAACGACAACACTGCACTCTCAATCGCCCTTTGTATTCTCTACTTCTTGTTTGATTATTTACTAAACTTAAGTCCGGATCTACAATAGATGTTTTAAGCCTTATGTTCGTGTCACACTACGGATTGTGGACGCGGATCGGATTGGGATTGCGGATCGCGAATCGGAATTCAGCCAATTAAGACAAGGCAGTTTCGGATCCGGATTGTAGATTGCAGAATAGACGGCTCTCTATTTTTGCGATCCGTAACCGTGAGCCAAGCCAATAAAACATCGAGTTTGGTCACGTGACCCATTTATGATGGAATGGTTAGCCACCCTATACACAGCAAACGTTGACGACACTGTATTGACGACACGACATTTGTGATACAGCATATGTTGCAAATTGAATCCGTAGTGGGTAGTGTCAACGAAGAATCCAAATCCAACGATCCGCAATCCCAATCCGATCCGCGTCCACAATCCGTAGTGTGACACGGGCATTAAGCCGTAAGAAATTAACTAATTACCCTGGATCTACAATAGGGTTTTAAGCCTTAAGCCATAAGATATAGATGAATCACAGTCGATTATTCCCCTCGGATTAGACTGTAATTGGATCAATTTCTTATGGTTTAAGTCTTAAAACACCTATTGTAGATCCGGACTAATTGGTCAATTTCTTACGACTTAAGGCCCTGGCACACAAAAAACTTAAGGCAGTAAAACGTAAGCAGTAAGGAAATCAACATGTTGGATTCGCTACTGCTTATGTTATGGCCTTACGGACTCTACTGTGATTGGTCAATTCGCTTACTGCTTACGTTTTATTGCTTAAGTTTTTTTGTGTGCTATGGCCCTTAAGGCTTAAAACACCTATTGTAGATCCGGACTTACGGTCAAATTCGAGGAGAATAATCGACTATGATTCGCCCATTTCTTATAACTTAAGGCTTAAAACCGTATTGTAGATCCGGGGTAATGATAACCACTAATATAGATTAATTAACAAATAATTTATTTAATTTATTAAATCATATATATATTTATTTTGCCTTTATTTTTCTCTTCCAAATAAATATTTTAAAAAGTAAAAAAAAAACAAAGTCTAAATTTTAAGTGAACTAGAACAAACTAAAAACAAACTATAATTATCAAAATTGTTTTAATGAACGCTGAAGCGATGAATGAACGATGAACGATGAAACGACAAATGTAATACTAATCTCTCTCTGTTGTTAGTTTATGGACAGCTAGAGTGGGTATAAAGAGAGTGAAGCCAATCCTGGTTCTCCTTCTTGATTGGTTCCGCCATTTTGCGATTAACTGTTAGTTAGAGGAAAACGACCTTAGAAAAAGAAAAGATGAGGATGAGGAATTACGTTATAAATATTTATCATAAAATGGCGACTTCCGGTTAATTGGCTTCACTTTCTTTATACCCACTCTATGGGCAGCACGCGATCAATACCACCAGTCAACGGCCTGACGAGCGGCCTGTTTAAAGCTCTAGATATATCAAAGTAGTGCACAGGTCCTCCATTTTTGACTTACTAATCATATCCTATACCAATAATACTAAGCGCTTATTGAACTAGAGACATAATATTAAGCACTTATTGGAACTGTGTTCCAAAATTGACTGCCAGTACTGAAAATCTATAATTCATGTAACGTAAACTGTAGCACTTTCAGTGCTGGCAGTAAATTTGGAACACAGCCTGGACTAGATCACAAATAGCGGTCGAAATAGCCAATAGGAAAGTTGTTGGCGTTTCGATTGGGATAAAAGGAATGCGCTATTTTGGTATATCTAATAGCGTTTTCGATTGGGAAAAAATTAGTGCGCACTCAGTTCATACC